TTTTTCAAGACTGTATTTTCAAAGTGTTCATGACCTGAGCCTTATCATCACCCCAGCTCATGATGAATAACCTACCGGGTAATACGATCTCTGTCTTTATATTAGTAGTGGGCACGTCCTCTCACCAGAAGCTGTCTACTTGGTAACAACGTTGTGAAAACTGTTTAATCCTTGTCCGATAACTTAAACGCTTTTTGATTCCTAAATGTGTTTTGCAACTGTTTAAAATGAAAACGTTTTAGATTTATTTATCAAAGCAAAGTGATATAATATACAGATAATCAAGTACATTTAATGTCTGAATGTGTTTGGGTTGGAGGATATTATGAAATACGAATATGTGATTGATCACTTACAGACTTAAATGGTATCACACAACGATCGACACTTCTCTTCTGACATGCTTGATTTTATTGCATGCCTGATTTCGATCTCCCTAAGAGAACAAGCAGGTGTTTGATCGATGTAACGATTGTTACATCAGGAGATCTGCTGTAAATGGGGATATCTATCTATCGCGGAACAAGATTACGCAGATATTTTGGATTATACGCTTTTCCCTTTCCTATATAATTATTATTCATTTGTTGTTACCTTTTAATACTCTAACACCTAGTCATACCGAGCTGCAGCTATATTAGTGTTGTGAATGAAGAGTGTACAGCACTCTAATACAGCATTGAACGTACTTCGCATAAATTATGCATATATCAGCTCCATGTGATATTTCAATCACGTGTCTGATTACACAGTGATATATTGCACTCAATCAATATGACATGCATTTCGCTTTGCAGATATACAAACTATTTTTTTTACTTTTAGAAGAAGATTCCTTATTTATATATATTTCTTGTAAAAGTAAAAAAATAGGCAACATGTCAACTCAGACACAACATTCAGAATATATATTTCAGAATATATGTTTGTCACTTTTCAGTTTCCGTTGTTTTCTCATACCCGGCTGCTTAGGGTCATTCTGGACTGTACGCGTTTTTGCCAAATTACCAACCCCTGCCAACCCCCACGCGCACTTATACTAAAGATGTTGTCTTTTCACTGTGTACCTTGTACTCTTCTTGAAATGGAGGAAATAAAGCCGATCTATCTATCTACTTACCCTCAATACCCCTACCCCCTATACCAACTCTTTTTTACACCCAGGACGCTATCAGCAACATTCGAGCTTCAAATATCATTTCAACAACGTATACATGTATATAACATATAGAATAAATACAAAACATTAAACAATAACTTGCATACAGGAAACTATAATTTAGATGATTTCCCGGAGTGTACTTTTTCCCAAAAATTTATCGTTCCTATTTTAACTAAGTTTACTAGATGGTGTCTTCCAAGTTCATCTTTTACCATGGAATTTGGAGTACTCTTTCTTCATGATAAAATATTTTTAGAAAACGTAAATGGACACCTTTTTGAAAAGGTAACGCCAAGGTATTTATGAAAATAGACTTTCTCCATAACATCATAACCAATTTTGAAATTATATTTGTAATCATTTTTTTACCCACCAAATATGAATATCATCTTTTGGGGAATATTAACCTTGAGCCTCCAATATATACAGTAGCTGTACAATGAGTCTAGCGTCTCTCGTAGATCATAAGAATCTGTGGCTAATAACACTGCATCAAATGCATACAATAATACAAATTTTAGGATAATATTTTTTATTTGATCATAGTATTTGCCAATGTCCTGATCGCCAGATTGTATCAAATGCTTTCTGAAAATCCACAAACGCACAAAATAATTTCTTTTCCCAGCTTTCAATAAATCCTGTATAGTTTTAAAGATTGGTTTACACCTGATATCGATATTTGGAATCAAGTATCAAGTACCATGTTAAAAAGTGTGACATAAATATCTATAAAGACATTAATGGTGGTTGAAATATATTAATTTATTATATTGTTAAGACCAGCGGCTATGTTATTTTGCAAATTCTGGACACAGTTTATGATTTGACCTCTTGTGATGGCTGCATGAATTATTGTGGTTTCTTCAATGTTTTTTTAGACGTAGACGAAACTCACCTTCTGCCGAAACTTCACGTAACGTTTTATAAAATCCGAATAAAGCTTCACTGCATGATAGTAAGGAATAAGCCGAACTTAACAAATCTTTTTATCTGTTGGGTGTTGTCAAAACATTTTATGCTAAAGATATGACAGTAACCATAATGGTTAAAATGTGCTATTTATTTTGTCATTAATGTATGGGGATTGGATGTGCACTCAACTGTGAACTTTGTTGAGTAAGGATAAGATACATTCAGAACAACTTCTTTATTACAATTAGGAGCGACGTTCCGGTGTTAACACTGTTATCAAGCAAGTGATGTACAGAGTATGGTTGACAAGCACATACAGGTATAAGGTAGTGTTTATACAGTTGAGTAGATTGGGATGTGGTTAAATACTCTGTCATCTTATATCGATATGAGATAGCAGTTAGTCAAAATAGTCTTGACAGCAACAAGGAAAGCGAGGAAGATCTACCCGCGAGGGAACACAATCTGGTGTTAAAATGTTATCCTGAGCTTTCCACATAAATGGATGTTTATAAATAAAAAAAATTATTAGACAGTTATTCCTGTGTAAAATGTACCAAGTGTAGATTGACGCTTAGCATTGTCAAACATTATTAATTGTGTTGTCTTTATGCCAAACACTCAGCATTGGACTATTTAAGCTAAATTTGTTTTCTATACAAACATATGTTATGTGTTAAAATTCTATAGTGATGATGGTCTTTCATGACCAAGACTTCTTCATTTATATCATCTATCCTGTTTTTTAAATAAAAAAGGGTGTACATAACGTACGTGGTGGTGAGTTTTAACGTGTTTGATAAAACGAGGACTCCATTTCAGGGCTGACATATACTGTGCATACTGTCATTGTACTTGAAATCGCACCCTATCACACTCCATTATTTAAAGATTTGTGTTGAGTAGTATTCTGGTTTCAGGGGTGAGCAAATGAAACTCGATGGAATTCGGGATTCAGGGAAGGAGGTGGTTGGCACCCTTAAACATGTAAAACCAAGTTCATCCTGCATGCTTTGTGAATAAAACGAGGGAGATCTTTCTTGCAGAATCAGAAAAGGATTTCAAGTACGCAAGGCCATGAGCTGAAATTGTGAATTCATGTACAACAAATATATACCCACAGCATGTAATCTGATCAATGTGCATGATCCTTTGTAGTGGTTGTACGAGGGTAGTCAGTCATGGATTATATGTAACAATGAATGCCAAATTATTTTTCGTAACCAAGTTCGTTTAGTTTGTGTGGGGTCTCATAGACAGATGCCTCAAAATTCAAGAAACAAAACGGCAGGCCCAGTCGGTTTCCATGTATCTCCTCGCTGACATCGCTTTATCTAAACCTTCCTCCTCGCTAAATCGACTTTTTCGCTTGGACATTTCAAGAAAGACACTTGGTACTTTTGTTTGAGGAACTAATACACCCCCACGCCCACATAACAGCCAATTGTTCGTCTTCAGTACGCCGGGAATAACGGAAAGTCACTTCATTGTCATATATATCAATGCATGTAAACGAAACAAAATGACGGACGTCTCTCCATGATGACACCTACAGTTCGAGTTCTATCTGAGATCTCAATATGCATAACGCGCTGGTGTGGGATCAGGGCAGTTGTTTGTTGCTTTTATAACAATGAAACCACATATGCCTGTTTGGGGTGTCAATATGTACTTTCTAAGTCTATTTCACATGCTTTAAAAAGTGTTTTTCAATAGATCTCCTTTAAAACGTCTAGTTAAGTGATAACCGGGGTTTGAACAGTCGGGATCTGTCATTCAACGTTAACACACCTGCCGAAGGTAACTTTGGCTTGTACAATCGTGTGTAGAAAATGGCCTCCCTGGGTCGATGTATGCCTCTAATGTTGTGAGTGGTCAGATATTCAGTATGTACTGTTGTTGTGCATAACACAAAATTACACATCAATCAAGAAAGTCTTGGCTGAAGTAAAGTTACTTCCCGTTCATGAAGTGTCATATTATATCTTAATATTAGCCTCCAGATCATTCGGTAAAGGATTAAAAAACAATGTTTGTTGGAAACGTATGTTTTCTTCAATGAGAACTGATAATGTTAGGTTTCGTATTGATATGTACGTCAGTAAGGAATTGAAACGCAATGCCAACTTTCAGCAGGTTTTACCTCATTTTCAGGATTATATATATGGTTGTCTGTGTTCATAGGAATTTCCATTCCGTTTACGACAAGTACGGAAACGTGGAATTGTGGGACAGATGTTGACATTAACAATGTTTCAACACTAATGGTAACCGTTTACCGCATGGTTAGCTGACCTAGAAGTAATTTCTGCTTCAGGATTTAACGGTTGGTGAGAAGTTCACCTGATGTCAGAACAATCGGCCCTGATCGCTATGGTGGCTTAAACGACTTCAGTTCAATCAACTGTTAAATGTGTTGTTGATAATGTGTCCTTATGAACGAAAATGTTACTTCTTCTAGAGAAAGTCAAAACCAACAAGACCATGTAACAAACACAAAAGAAGAATTCAATTCAAATTGGTTTATTGCCCTCGTGTGTACGCTGAATCCTTTGACATAAGCATTTTATAGGGTTGTATTCAATAATAAATAGATTCAAATAAGTTGTAGTAAAATATATTAGGCCAGAACATTACGGAAGGTCACACTGTCTCCAAATCATTTAGAAGCACTTCCTGTGCACAATGGATGGGCCGGACTCATCGTACTCCTGCTTGCTGATCCACATCTGCTGGAAGGTGGACAGAGAGGCAAGGATGGAGCCACCGATCCAGACGGAGTATTTCCTCTCTGGGGGAGCGATGATCTTGATCTTCATTGTGCTTGGGGCAAGGGATGTGATCTCCTTCTGCATTCTGTCGGCGATACCAGGGAACATGGTGGTACCTCCTGAGAGAACAGTGTTGGCGTACAAGTCCTTACGGATATCAACATCACACCTCATAATGGAGTTGAATGTGGTTTCGTGAATACCAACTGTTTCCATACCCAAGAAGGAAGGCTGGAAGAGGGCCTCTGGACAACGGAATCTCTCGTTTCCAATGGTGATGACTTGGCCATCGGGCAACTCGTAGCTCTTCTCCAGGGAGGAAGATGATGAGGCAGTTGCCATTTCCTGCTCGAAGTCAAGGGCGATGTAGCACAGTTTCTCCTTGATGTCTCTGACGATTTCTCGCTCAGCAGTGGTGGTGAAGGAGTAGCCGCGCTCAGTAAGGATCTTCATGAGGTAATCAGTCAGGTCACGGCCAGCAAGATCCAATCTCATGATGGCGTGGGGAAGAGCATAACCTTCATAGATGGGGACAGTGTGGGTGACACCATCACCAGAGTCCAGAACAATACCCGTGGTACGACCAGAAGCGTACAGAGACAGAACAGCCTGGATAGCCACAAACATAGCTGGAGAGTTGAAGGTCTCGAACATGATCTGGGTCATCTTTTCTCGGTTGGCCTTGGGGTTGAGGGGAGCCTCTGTCAGGAGGACGGGGTGCTCCTCTGGAGCCACTCGGAGTTCGTTGTAGAAGGTGTGATGCCAGATTTTCTCCATGTCGTCCCAATTGGTGACGATACCATGCTCGATAGGGTACTTGAGGGTGAGTATACCTCTCTTGGACTGAGCCTCGTCACCAACATAGCTGTCTTTCTGACCCATACCGACCATCACGCCCTGAAACACGAAAACATTTGTCATTTTCATAATTATTTACGTGTTTTATTCTACTGAGACAAGTGACTCGACTGTTATCTGCCGAGAGCTTTTAAACAAATCAAATTATCAGGTAACCATATTACAATATTTAAGCGGATTATAATGTCTTCTCGAACACCCGGGAAACTTACTATTTCAAATCTTGAACCTCTTTTTTTTCAGAGTAACAATAAACAGTATTACCTGATGTCTTGGGCGTCCGACTATGGAGGGAAAGACAGCTCTTGGAGCGTCGTCACCGGCGAAACCGGCCTTGCACATACCGGAGCCGTTGTCACAGACCAATGCAGCAACATCATCATCCATGGCTGTAGGTAGTTGTGTGAGAAACAGGAAAGAGGATGCGAGACAAACGAAGACTGAAAGCGAATGCACTATCGATGTTCACATCCTGGCGTCTTTTATACATCCCCCATCAGTAGGCGACCAATCAGATTGTGGTTAAGAATAATGGAAATGTAACAATACGTAATTGGAGTTGATGATATGTACCATGTTGATGCATGTAATTGCATAACAGCCTTTCGTGTGTACATGTGGAAGAATGTGTCACAGTCGGGGGTCATCTGCACTCGGCTACTGAACGCTCATTGATCTCCCCTTTCCCCTTGATGGACCCCCCCTCCCCGACTCCCTTCCCCCAGGAGTGAACGTCACGCGATGCCGCAAAAAGGGGAACGCTCCTAACCAAATGATGCATTATTTGAAGAAATTAAGCAATTCTCGAAAAGTTGCGACGTAAATTGTAAGAATTGTTGCGAAGATCTGTGTTAAAATGAATTATTCGCCAGGTTAATGTATGTAAAGAAGAATGAAAAATGAAGGAACTTATTTTGCGTTTTTAACACCTTATTTTTATGAATGATGTTTCAATGGTGAACTAAACAACGTATCAATCTGACTACAGACAGAAATGATTTGCTTATCCCGTGAGTATTCAGATCATGTATACACTATTTGTATCAATTAAAAACAAATCAGCAATGAAGCAGCATATCTGTAAATGAGCACTCAGCGTTTGAGTTTATACTGTAGTCGACGCCACCTCAGGAGTATGGCGACAAGGTGCGCACAACTCTATATTAGACATGAATGCTTAAGAGGGGTCATAAACTGGTGCGCTAGACCTATCCTAAACATGCATGTAAAATAGTGTGTCGTGAACAGGTTACAGACAGCTTCGTGAACAGATGCGCTAGTCTTATACTAGATATGCATGCAACAGAAAGGTCGTGATCAGGTGCGCTGCGCCTATACTAGACATGCATGTGAGAGAGAGTCGTGAACAAGTGGGCTAGGCCTATTCCAGACATGCATGCCGAAGAGTGTCGTGAACAAGTGGGCTAGGCCTATTCCAGACATGCATGCCGAAGAGTGTCGTGAACAAGTGGGCTAGGCCTATTCCAGACATGCATGCCGAAGAGTGTCGTGAACAAGTGGGCTAAGTCTATACTAGACATGTATGTCAGAGAGAGGTCATGAACAGGTGCGCTAGGCCTATACCAGATATACATGCTAAAGTGAGGTCGTGAGAAGGTGGGCTAGGGCTATAGTAAACATGCTTGCTGAAGTGGGGTCGTGAACAGATGGGCCATCCCTATATTAGACAAGCATTCTGGAAGGAGGGCCGTGAACAGGTGTGATAGGCCTAAACTAGACATGAATGTTACAGAAAGGTTGTCACCAGGTGCGCTGGGCCTATACTAGACATGCATGTTAGAGAGTCGTGAACAAGTGGGCTAGGCCTATACTAGACATGTATGTAAGAGAGAGGTCATGAACAGGTGGGCTAGGCCTATACTAGACATGTATGTTAGAGAGAGGTCATGAACAGGTGCGCTAGGGCTATACTAGACATGCATGTTAGAGAGAGTCGTGAACAAGTGGGCTAGGCCTATACTAGACATGCATGTTAGAGAGAGTCGTGAACAAGTGGGCTAGGCCTATACTAGACATGCATGTTAGAGAGAGTCGTGAACAAGTGGGCTGGGCCTAGTCCAGGCATGCATGTTAGAGAGAGGTCATGAACAGGTGCGCTAGGGCTATACTAGACATGCATGTTAGAGAGAGTCGTGAACAAGTGGGCTAGGCCTATACTAGACATGCATGTTAGAGAGAGTCGTGAACAAGTGGGCTAGGCCTATACTAGACATGCATGTTAGAGAGAGTCGTGAACAAGTGGGCTGGGCCTAGTCCAGACATGCACGTGAGAGAGAGTCGTGAACAAGTGGGCTGGGCCTAGTCCAGACATGCATGTGAGAGAGAGTCGTGAACAAGTGGGCTAGGCCTATTCCAGACATGTATGTTAGAGAGAGTCGTGAACAAGTGGGCTAGGCCTGTACTAGACATGCATGTTAGAGTGAGTCGTGAACAAGTGGGCTAGGCCTATACTAGACATGCATGCTAGAGAGAGTCATGAACAAGTGGGCTAGGCCTATACTAGACATGTATGTTAGAGAGAGTCGTGAACAAGTGGGCTAGGCCTATACTAAGCATGAATTCCAGAGGCAGCTTCGTAAACAGATGCTCCGGGCCCAAACTAGAGAGTCTTTCAAAACAGTTAACGGTTGAACAGTGTTCTGTAAAACTAAGTTAATAAGGTATGATTATATTTCCGTAATAACTGAAAGTAATGTCCTCCAGAGCATCTGTTTAAAGTGAAGGTACATCCTTCGAGGGGGGAAAGAGAGATCAATGAGCCATCGGTAGCTGAGTGTAGATGACCCCCGACTGTGACACATTCTTCCACATGTACACATGGAAGGCTGTTATGCAATATGCTACATTAGAAGGGTATATTTATCATTAACTACAATTACAGTCGTTACGTTTCTATTATTCTCAAACAGAATCTGATTGGTCTGCTACTGATGGGGGATGTATAAAAGACGCAAGGGTGTGTGAATCGATAGTGCATTCGCTTTCAGTCTTCAGTTGACTCGCATCGTCTTTCCTGTTTCTCACACAACTACCTACAGCCATGGATGATGATGTTGCTGCATTGGTCTGTGACAACGGCTCCGGTATGTGCAAGGCCGGTTTCGCCGGTGACGACGCTCCCAGAGCTGTCTTTCCCTCCATCGTCGGACGCCCCAGACATCAGGTAAGAAATAAACTTAAGAAATGCTGATATGAGAATTTAAAGAAGTTAGACGAAAAATGTGATAAGATAAAAGAAATCATCTTGTTTCATGCTCTCTGTTCTACTATAATGTCTCTGATGTCGAATGTATAAGGTTCATTGAGTAAAGGAATGAAATTCTCAAATTCTATGAAGGTTAGCACTTTTAGGTAATACTGTTTATCGTTACTCTGAAAACAAGAGGTTCAAAACTTGAAATAGTAAGCTTCCCCGGGTGGTCGAGAAGACATTCAAATCCCCTTAAATATTGTAATATGGTGACCTAATAATTGTTACTTTTCAAAAGCTTTCAGCAGATAACAGTCACTTGTCTGTTTAGAATAATACACGTAAATAATTATGAAAATGACAAATGATTTTGTGTTTCAGGGCGTGATGGTTGGTATGGGACAGAAAGACAGCTATGTTGGTGACGAGGCTCAGTCCAAGAGAGGTATCCTCACCCTCAAGTACCCTATCGAGCATGGTATCGTCACCAACTGGGACGACATGGAGAAGATCTGGCATCACACCTTCTACAACGAGCTCCGCGTTGCACCAGAGGAGCACCCCGTCCTCCTGACAGAGGCTCCCCTCAACCCAAAGGCCAACCGTGAAAAGATGACCCAGATCATGTTCGAGACCTTCAACTCTCCAGCTATGTATGTGGCCATCCAGGCCGTTCTGTCTTTGTACGCTTCTGGTCGTACCACGGGTATTGTTCTGGACTCTGGTGATGGTGTTACCCACACTGTCCCCATCTATGAAGGTTATGCTCTTCCCCACGCCATCATGAGGTTGGATCTTGCTGGCCGTGACCTGACTGATTACCTCATGAAGATCCTAACTGAGCGCGGCTACTCCTTCACCACCACTGCTGAGCGAGAAATCGTCAGAGACATCAAGGAGAAACTGTGCTACATCGCCCTTGACTTCGAGCAGGAAATGGCAACTGCCTCATCATCTTCCTCCCTGGAGAAGAGCTACGAGTTGCCTGATGGCCAAGTCATCACCATTGGTAACGAGAGATTCCGTTGTCCAGAGGCCCTCTTCCAGCCTTCTTTCTTGGGTATGGAAACAGTTGGTATACACGAAACCACATTCAACTCTATTATGAGGTGTGATGTTGATATCCGTAAGGACTTGTACGCCAACACTGTTCTCTCAGGAGGTACCACCATGTTCCCTGGTATCGCCGACAGAATGCAGAAGGAGATCACATCCCTTGCCCCAAGCACAATGAAGATCAAGATTATCGCACCACCAGAGAGGAAATACTCCGTCTGGATCGGTGGCTCCATCCTTGCCTCTCTGTCCACCTTCCAGCAGATGTGGATCAGCAAGCAGGAGTACGACGAGTCCGGCCCATCCATTGTGCACAGGAAGTGCTTCTAAATGATCTAGAGACAAAACCTTGGGAATATTCACCAAACTTGAAGACAGGGTGACCTTCGTCCGAAATATGACGCACTAAATATTTGTGACCTATTTAAGTTATTTAAATGTTTTAATTTTGACTACAACCCTATACAATATTTATGTTGACAAAGAAGGGATTCTGCTAACACACGAAGGCAATAAATCGATTTTAAACTTAATTCTTCTTTGTGTATTTGTAATATGGCTTTGTGAGTGTTGTTTTGACTTGCTCTGTTAGAAGTAACATTTTCGTTCATGAAGGATACGACAGGTTTGTTGTAGGTCAAAGGATATTTTCTTTTAAGAGAAGTAGCTTTACTGTCATGAAGACATTACTCAACGTGAACGTGATGCAAAATAACAGTACATGCTAAATATCTAGACCGCACAACATTACAGGCACACATGCTGCTCCCTGGGAATACAGTGTACTGTCACACATCGTACCATAACATACTACTCCCTGTGTATCACCACATATCCTGTCATATCATACAACTTCCTGTGAATACAGACTGCGTACTACGGTAACCATATATCCTGCCATATCATACTACTCCCTGTGAATACAGACTGTGTTCTACCATATATCCTGCCATTTCATACTACTCCCTGTGAATACAGACTGTGTACTACCATATATCCTGCCATATCATACTCCTCCCTGTGAATACAGACTGTGAACTACCATTTATCCTGCCATTTCATACTACTCCCTTTAACTACAGACTGTGTACTACCATATATCCTGCCATTTCATACTACTCTCTGTGAATACAGACTGTGTACTACAATATATCCTGCCATTTCATACTCCTCCCTGTGAATACAGACTGTGTACTACTATATATCCTGCAATTTCATACTCCTCACTGTGAATACAGACTGTGTACTACCATATATCCTGCCATTTCATACTACTCTCTGTGAATACAGACTGTGTACTACCATATATCCTGCCATATCATACTACTCCCTGTGAATACAGACTGTGTACTACTATATATCCTGCAATTTCATACTCCTCCCTGTGAATACAGACTGTGTACTACCATATATCCTGCCATATCATACTCCTCCCTGTGAATACAGACTGTGTTCTACCATATATCCTGCCATTTCATACTACTCCCTGTGAATACAGACTGTGAACTACCATATATCTGGTCATTTCATACTACTCCCTGTGAATACAGACTGTGTACTACCATATATCCTGCCATTTCATACTACTCCCTGTGAATACAGACTGTGTACTACCATATATCCTGCCATTTCATACTACTCTCTGTGAATACAGACTGTGTACTACCATATATCCTGCCATATCATACTACTCCCTGTGAATACAGACTGTGTACTACCATATATCCTGCCATATCACACTCCTCCTTGTGAATACAGACTGTGTACTACCATATATCCTGCCATATCACACTCCTCCTTGTGAATAGGCTTGTGGCTTGCGTGGTTGATGGCGCTTTATGGTACCCTGGTGGCTCGGTCTTTTTCAAGGCTTAATCCATTCACAGGTTGGCGGAATGTGTGTCGTTCAATACAAACACACAAATTCCCATCACCGGCTCCATTTGGATTTTATGGGGTTTTTATTTTTTTATTTTGTAGATATGCATATTTAAATAAGGGGTAATTTTATTTCTTGGACTAAATGTCAGTCTAACCACGGCTGCCAAACTTTACAGATGCAATTTTTGGTAAATATCTTTTGGTTACATTGCCATAGTGGCTGAAATTACTGGTGTGTGAAATTGATATATAGGACTGTATATATATGGTATAATGGTATCATGACATGTAGGCGTTCTGATAGACACTTATTACAGATCCACAGACTCGCTGACTTGGTTGATGCATGTCATCGTATCCCCATTGAGTAGATCGATGCTCATGATATCAATCACTGAATTGCCTGGTCCAGACTCGATTATTTACAGATGGCCGTCATATGGCTGGAATATTGCTTATTGTGGCGTTAAACAAACTTATATACAGTACTGAAAAGGTCATAGGCCAAAAGCACTTATATACATACAGTAGCAATGGGTGCAAGAGGAACACCTATATCGTAAATAATATCATCTCACATAGGCAATATTTCAGCCATACCGTGACGAGTGTGTGTGGATTAATGTGACTACTTAATGTAGGATACAACTGATATGCAGTTGTAAGTTTGAATGTTGTAGTCTAGCATGTATAGTATATTATCTTTTATTACAGGGTGATCGACTGATTCGCTCCGTCATTGTTTGAGTGATTGACTGAGTGTCCTTACCATGTCACCTCAACACACACCCGCAGTTTTTCGTTTTTCGTAATGACCCCGCAACCCCCTCCCCCTCCCGCAACAAATGTGTATGGCTCAATAATACGTTTACGTGAGGTGATTGGCTGAGAAGTTAGGACGGCACTACTTTTCATTCATTGCTCTTGTATTAATCTTTATTGTGCTTCAAACGTCTGCAATATAGTCCCGCCGCCGCAAACCAGCAATCCAACATGGCTTCGCTGGTCTTGCTGTATAGTTACAAACATCGTGAAGTAGACGATGATTTGACAGACTAACACGGTACAGTTCATGCTCGGCACATGTTATTCACATCACATCGGCAGTTTTATTGGTCGGGTCTCAGAACTCAAAGAAACTGCTGTCCCCAAATTCAATTTTAAAACTTGTGGTGATTAATCGTTTGGATCTGTTGCCTTAAAGTAATCGAATAAACATTCCAAACTGTTTGGAATGCTGAAACACTCATTATTTAAACAAACCCAGCTCAAGACATTTAGTCATGAATTTGTTTGGAAACACACATGAATCTTCAACGTGCCACTGATTTCGGAACGTGGCCGAATAACGACTCCACTATTTTAATGGCCTAGTCACATTCACATCTTAGAAACAACGAGAGATGTATTCAGCTCGTACTGATTTATTGATTCAAACACCTGTTTCCTGGAATTTACATTCAGACATTGTGTTGTCAAAAATCATAGGATAAAATAATAAATAAACATAAATAATCATTGAGAATTTCAAATCAGACGAACACAGAAAAGTTATTTTAGAAGCACTTCCTGTGCACAATGGATGGGCCGGACTCGTCGTACTCCTGCTTGCTGATCCACATCTGCTGGAAGGTGGACAGAGAGGCAAGGATGGAGCCACCGATCCAGACGGAGTATTTCCTCTCTGGGGGAGCGATGATCTTGATCTTCATTGTGCTTGGGGCAAGGGATGTGATCTCCTTCTGCATTCTGTCGGCGATACCAGGGAACATTGTGGTACCTCCTGAGAGAACAGTGTTGGCGTACAAGTCCTTACGGATATCAACATCGCACCTCATAATGGAGTTGAATGTGGTTTCGTGAATACCAACTGTTTCCATACCCAAGAAGGAAGGCTGGAAGAGGGCCTCTGGACAACGGAACCTCTCATTTCCGATGGTGATGACTTGACCATCGGGCAACTCGTAGCTCTTCTCCAGGGAGGAAGATGATGAGGCAGTTGCCATTTCCTGCTCGAAGTCAAGGGCGATGTAGCACAATTTCTCCTTGATGTCTCTGACGATTTCTCGCTCAGCAGTGGTGGTGAAGGAGTATCCACGTTCAGTGAGGATCTTCATGAGGTAATCAGTCAGGTCACGGCCAGCAAGATCCAATCTCATGATGGCGTGGGGAAGAGCATAACCTTCATAGATGGGGACAGTGTGGGTGACGCCATCACCAGAGTCCAAAACAATACCCGTAGTACGACCAGAAGCGTACAGGGACAGGACAGCCTGGATAGCCACATACATAGCTGGAGAGTTGAAGGTCTCGAACATGATCTGGGTCATCTTTTCACGGTTGGCCTTGGGGTTGAGGGGAGCCTCTGTCAGGAGGACAGGATGCTCCTCTGGTGCAACGCGGAGCTCGTTGTAGAAGGTGTGATGCCAGATCTTCTCCATGTCGTCCCAGTTGGTAACGATACCGTGCTCGATGGGGTACTTGAGGGTGAGGATACCTCTCTTGGACTGAGCCTCGTCACCGACATAACTGTCCTTTTGTCCCATACCGACCATCACACCCTAAAAGGAACAACATAATCTTAGAAAACTATTTTGGTAAAAGATTGAAGTTCTTGTAAATATGTTATATAAAATGTATCTATTGTTTCACAAGAGAGGCCCTTTTATTATCAATTGTTCAAGCAATCGACTCCATACTCCAACCATTTACACCACTAATATTGGGCTGATAGAACGTAAAATGTCCCTATTCCCACTCAGCAATTCAGCTATTGATTGTGTTTAAAAGCATATTTTACCTGGTGTCTAGGACGTCCGACGATAGAAGGAAAGACTGCTCTGGGAGCGTCGTCACCGGCGAAACCGGCCTTGCACATGCCGGAGCCGTTGTCACAGACCAATGCAGCAACATCATCATCCATGGTTGGTGGTAGTTGTGTGAGAACAGGAACAAAATGTGCGTCAACTGAAGGCTGAAAGCGAATGCAGTATCGATGTTAACATCCAGGCGTCTTTTATACTTCCCCCATCAGTAGGCGACCAATCAGATTGTATTCAAGAATATGGAAAACGATATCACGTTAATCGAGTTAATAATGCTTGAACCACGTGAATGCACTCCGTTGTATGACGACCCTTCATGTGCACATGTGGAGGAATGTTTCACAGCCGGGGGTCTTCTCGATGCGCTCTACCCCCAACAGGGACCGCAACGTGCTGGAAGTTTGGGACGGCGGGGTATATTCCTTGGCGCAGTGATAATATGTATTTAACCAGATACACGTTATTAAAAACAGGAAAAAGATAATATAGTGCATATTTTGGAGCAGTACAAATTTGAATTATAAACGATAGCTTTCCCCCCGATGTTTTAATTACTTCATAGAAAGAATTGTATGTATGAAGTTAAATTATTTCTTTGAATAATGTATATTTATTTTATTTCAGGCCATAAACTCTTTTTTATTTCATAAATTTGAACATGCGTGCGCACACGCGTACGTATATACGTACATACGTAGATACATTTCATTCGGCTACACCATGACGTAACATACGACATATGAGTACATATAAATTTATGTTTCATTCTTAATGGCACAAGTAAAATTTTTAATGAAGCACACCACAGGTATTAAAATAATTGAAAC